CTCTCGGAAACCAATAAAAATATATGTAAAAAATAAAATAAAATGTAAACTTCAAGGGAGCTCTAAATTAGTGAAGACAAGGAGCACAGCCTGAAACCCTCCCCCCCTCCCCCAGCCCCCAGGCGGAAGCTCCGGGACCAAGTCCACGTCCAATTCGCGCAGGGATCGCGTCCCCCGGCCCCGCCCCTCGAGGCCCCGCCCCTCGAGGCCCCGCCCCCGCGGGTGCTGCTATGGAAACCCAGAAAGCTACATGGCAGCCAGCCGCCAGAAGAAAGCGATTTTGCAAGTGCCATGGGCAGCCCAAGCCAACTTACCTCCGCTTTCGTCACAGGCCTCAGAGGCAGCCCCGGGGCGGCCTAAGAAGTATCTGGTCTACCCGCACCCGCCCAGAAGGTCCCGCCTGTCTCGGTCGATCCTGCGCTGGCTCCAGAGCTTGGACCTCACCTTCTTCCCCAGGAACATCAACAGGTGGGGGAGAAGCGGGCCAGGTGGACCCCGCCCGCCTCCTCCAGGCCGCCCACCACGCCCACACACACACCTGCGCCCTTAGGGAGCCGGCCTGAAACAACATGGTGGAGCATTTCATTCATTCATTCATTCAAGCAATCGATCATTAAATGTTAGGCCTACGCTAATATAGGTAGAAGGCTTTGGTGACTACAAGAGTATTGAAATAGTCCAGGCTCTTCGGGTTCACTTAGACCAGTTACTTGCTGTCAGGACAGAATCTTAGGTTGGTGTTCACTGGAGCACAGACGGTATAAGTAACCACATGTTCTCTCATTTCCTTCCGGCCACGGATCAGGGATTTTTCCAATGGCTTCCTGGTAGCAGAAATATTCGCTATCTATTACCCCTGGGACCTTAGCCTCTCATCCTTTAAAAACGGCACTTCTTTAAGAGTCAAGTTGGATAACTGGGCGCAGTTGGAAAAGGTAAATCCGCAACCATTGACGGCGTTCACTGCTCCGTGGGTGGTTTTAAAGGGCTGGGTTTCTAGACGCGTGTGGCGGGCTCGGAGGGGATACTGCTGTGTTGGCAGCTTGCTTCCTGGGATTGAAAAGAGGGTTATTAACACGCTCACTTCACGTGGGAGTGGGGTGTAATGGTTTTCTTGCCGAATAACATCATTTAATGATGAACAGGTGAGACAGAAAATTGGTGGAGATAAAAGGGGGATTGAAGGGAATTCACAGCGATTGAACCTTTGAATAAAACTACTCACGATGCACATGTTTTCTTTCCACTATTAAAGTTCCTGGCCAAAAAGAAAATTAGATTACCCAGAGAACTAATCTACGGGACGATCCACTGCAAAGCCGGTGTGCCGGAGATCCTGGTCCAGGAGGTGTACAGCTTGCTAACCCACCAGGAGTGAGTGAGCGGGGTTCCTAGCAAACGCCGCGTCATCTGAAACGTTGGGTAACACACTTCTCATTCCTAAAATGCCGCTCGTGAATAGTATGTTTTGTTTTTTTTTTTTATTTCCAGAACCCAAAGTATCCAGGACGACCTTGTGAACTTCACAGACTACAGTTACCAGATGCAACTGCCTCTGCTCCCCAGGTCCACGGCCTCCAAGTTCATTAAAGATAACATTAGGTTGTCCGAACTCATGAGCAATCGCAGCCTGCTCAGCAATGAACTGAAAATCGATTTCCTCTTCCTTCTGCAAATGTTGCAAAGGAAGTTAAGCAGAAAGATGCATCCAAGTAAGTTTTCCTTGGGAATCCTCAACCGATTTCCTCCGCGCCCAATGACGCTCCTCTTGGGCACGGATGAAGGAAAGGCTCTCATGTCTGCTGTCTCCGGTCACCGGTTTAACGGGGAAATACTCCCGTTGTGCAAGCAGTGGGATGAATTCTTTTCGTCGGGGTGGTTTATGTTATAATTCATTCGTTTTGATGAAAGCATAGGTTACCAGTGTCTAAGCACGTTTCTTTTTAGAAAATCTTTTAAGTGAATCTGTTCACGTAAAATATTGTGGGAATTCATAAGTTCACATATCAACTCAAGATACCCAGGAGGATAGGAGTGTTTAAGCGTCCGTCAGGGTGTAAGTACTTGACCCCTAGCTGCTCTCTAGGTGTGGTCAGTGCTGTCCTTTCTGTGGTAGCTGTTGGTGTGGAGATGGCCAGGCCGACTGGGTCACCCACAGCGTCTTCTTGTTGCTGTGGCTTTTCTGACACTTATTCGGGACACCACTCATGCCTGGGAACCCGACCTCCCTGGTTGCAGACACTGGGAGACTCGTCATTACCTAGACATCCACGCCATTCCCGAGCGAGGCGGGTGTAGGTCATCAGGATTTCTCTCTCCCTTTTTTGAACCCAGTTTTCCGAAGAGCCATCTTACTCTAGTCTCTGGAAGGAGCGGAGAGCCGCAACCTGACCTCCCTCCCTAATTAATTGTGAGACAGATGTTTTGTCCTTTATCGGTCCGTTCTTCCATCTTCTGTCATTTTCTGTGTCTCTTCTTTATTCTACTTGTGAATTTGAGCAGAGACAGCTGTAAATTTTACGTTCAGATTTTTGGGAAGTTTTCAGACACTAACTTTTTGCTGTGAAATGTATCATACATGCAGCGTATAATGCATATACATTTGTGTACCCCCTTGTAAGAAACAGAACATCACCGGTGCCTTCACATTCCCCTGTGCGTCCTCTATGATAGCATTCTCTACCCTTCCCGCCGAGAGCAGCCATTGTCCTCCTGCCTTATGATTTCCTTGATTTTTAAAAAATATATTTTTATTGATTTCAAAAAGGAAGGGAGAGGGAGAGAGAGAAACATCAATGATGAGGGGGAATCATTGATTGGCTGCCTCCTGCACGCCCCACTCTGGGGATGGATCCCACAACCCAGGCATGTGCCCTGACCGGGAATCAATCGAACTGAGACCTCCTGGTTCATGGGTCCACTCTCAACCACTGAGCCACACCAGCCGGGCTTAAAGTAACTTTTTAAAGCAACTATTTTGTGCATGAAGAAGGTAAGCACTGCGGGGAGAGGGGTGTTAAGCTCTGTAGTCACAGCACTCCTAGGATTATGGGGAAACGGATATCTACACAATTTGCTGAATTTCTAAATCGTGGGGCTTTATTTTGCCAATGGCCACAGTGAATTCCTAAGAAACGACGATTGTGTCTATTTTACAGGCAGGTTTGAAGTCAAACCGAACGTGGGAGAACTCACTCTGGACCACATCTCTGCCCAGGCCTCTCGCCACAAGCCCAAAGCAGCGAATCCAAGGCCACGGGACCTTTCTGTTCTACGTACGCGCTTTTGCTGTGGTTTTGTTTTTAACTTTCTACCTGTGAAAAGGGATTTTTTTGTTTGTTTGTTTTGCTGTGTTCATTGACATTTTTAAAAAGAGTTAAAATGCTGGTCTCAGCCTTCGGTCTAAAATGATGCCACAGTTGGTTGACTCATTGTTTGCTCTTGTTTTCTTGTTAATCCTCACCCAAGGATATTTTTCCATTGATTTTTAAAGAAAGTGGAAGGGAGAGGGAGAGACAGAGAGAGAGAAACACCGATGTGAGAGAGACACATCAATTGATTGCCTCCTGCGCATGCCCCAACCAGAGCTGGGGACTGAGCCTGCAACTGAAGTACATGCCCTTGACCGGAATGGAACCTGGGACTCTTCAGTCCATGGGCTGACGGTCTATCCACTGAGCCGAACTGGCCAGCGCGTTGTTGTGCTCTTGATAGAGAGATGGGGCCCCATCAGGGGAGCTTCCCAAGCTGGGGCCCTCCTTCTACTGTGGGAGCCATCTGGGTGCTGGTTTCTAGGTTGATGCTCAACCACTGGGCCACACCGGGCAAGCTGTTTTTTTCTTTTTCTAACACTTAACTTCCTCTATCGGTTTACCTAAATCTAGCATAGGCAACATGATGGGCCAAAGAATATAGATTTCTTAGTTGCAACGGGACTGTCCCTTGAGAAGTGAGTGAGCTGCAGGGCCCGGGTGGCCGGCTGGATGCTCAGAGTTCCAGAAGCGGGTGTGCACCGTGCCTGCCACAGCAAGGCTTCTGGAGTCGTGTGCAGTGGCCTCAGCTGTTTCTGAAGCAACATTTAAAAACAGCTGAGTCATATTCGGGATCAAAATAAGCCGCGGGTATTTTTAGGCCCTGCTGGCGGCTCCCGGAGGTGGGTGGCATGCCGAGTTCTTATTTACGGCTACTATCATGAGCCCGTCTCCGCCTGCAGCCCTTCACTGTGCGTACATTTGATATATCAGAAATGTGGGTGGTTTGCGTACATAGTTAATAACCACGCATTGATTTTAACTTTGTTTTTTTAAAATATTCTAGCAAATATAGGCAACGCTGGCAATTAGGGAACCAATCCAGGGGACGCAGCCTAGAACACCTTCTCTCGGCCCTGAGACAGAGCCTGTCCAGACCTGGACAGGTGACCTTGGAAACCCCTCATGGACTTGAAGAAGGGCTGCCGCCACCTTTGCCACGTTAAAGGGACAGAATCGCCGCCTTAGCTGATATTTCAGTGAAAAGTAAACTAAAGTGGTGTCGTATCCATTCTTGGGCTGTTTTTTCTTCTCAATTCCATTCAACAACCGTTTATTAACATCACCTGTGCCACATCCCGTGGAAAACACAAAGTCAAATTAATTAGCGCAGAATGAGCCCAGGTCACCGTAAAGGTGCAGTTAAAGTCCAGGGGTGGACAAACTTTTTGACTCGAGGGCCACAGTGGGTTCTTAAACTGGACCGTAGGGCCGGAACAAAAGCATGGATGGAGTGTTTGTGTGAACTAATATAAATTCAAAGTAAACATCATTACATAAAAGGGTACGGTCTTTTTTTTTTTAGTTTTATTCATTTCAAATGGGCCGGATCCAGCCCGCAGGCCGTAGTTTGCCCACGGCTGAGTTAAACACAACTTACCTCGACCAGCAACAGGTCTTCCCCAGATAGCCGGTAGGAATGGTGACTTACTCTGTAATATTTTCCTCATTAGAAATGAAAAGAGTTACTAGGCAGCCTGACAGTGTTTATTTACACATCACATCTATAAATAAAAACATTTATTCTGAACGATGATCCTTGTACACTGGCCCATAGACCATCTTGCCCAGGTCCATAAATAGCCGTTAACGTTTCTTACAAACTGGCGTCCTTCCTTGAGACCGAGCTGTGGAGAAGGGAAATGCTTCACTTAGAAACTGGCCTGGGGTTTAGCGACCCATTTCTTCCATCTAAATATGCCCACGGGCTGCTGCCATCCCCACACCCTCACTGAAGGGAAACCATAGCAGCTGACATCCTGAAAGGCGGTTCTCTTCCACCTTTTGGTAATGTTATGTTCGTATTGGGGACATTTCCTTCAACTGGAACCACTCCTGTGAGACGCCATCTCATTCACAGTCCCTTTGGCTCCCCAGATGACAGTGGTAAGTCCCACCGTGTGTGGGTCAGTTTCCAGCTACCCTCGGTCACTTTTCCTGCAGTGTGGAAGGCTTACACAGTTTTATTAGAATTTCTACCTCCGGAGACTTCCTTGTTTGATTTTACATTTTGGGGAGAGCACATTTAGTAAAAGAAAGAGATGACTTCTTAGGAGGGTGTTTAGAATCTGGTTTTATCTGCGGTAAAGGATTCAGTCCAAATGCATGTCCTAACCAGCTCTCTGGTCCCTACCTGCTGCCTTGGGTTCTAACAGGACACATCTAAGTCCAAGCTGGTGGGGATCACCGCTAACCCATCCATTGACGATCCCCAGGGAAGGGTGTTAGGAAGGAGTCAGCTGAAGATCCCGAGAAAAGGCCTGGGTGGGGATAAACAGTCACACACACTGCTCTCTCCTCTTGACACTGCATTCAACCTCCTGGAAAAGCCCATCCCCCGTGGCCTGTGGCCGGTCCCTAGGACCCTGAGGGAGGGCGGAGGGCTGGGAGAGATAGGAAATGGTCCCCAGGCTTCATCCCCGAGAGTGAGTGAGTGAGTGAGTGAGGGCAGCGGGTACAGTCAGAGCAGAGTGGGGAACTGTAAGAACTTCGAGGATGAGTGTGCCCAGACGCCAACGCTGGGGCACGTCTTAGGAAGGCCATTGGCTCAGAGGCTCTTGGACGGAAGGAAGGAAGGAAGGAAGGAAGGAAGGAAGGAAGGAAGGAAGGGAGGGAGGGAGGAAGGAAGGAAGGAAGGAAGGAAGGAAGGAAGGAAGGAAGGACTGACTTTCCCGGGAGCTAGGCCGCCTCAGGAACAGGTCCTGTCCATCAAGTGGCAGAATGCTCCTCAGGGCCACGGAAGACCCTGCTCTCTCTCCTGCTCACGTGGCGGTTTCCATAGTCATTGTTTCCTGCGAGTGGAGGGTCTTCCCTCTGAAGGTCCATGGAGTGACTTTGCAGGCTTCCTCCCGGGAGAGTAATCTCTGATGGACAGCTCAACCCTTCACACCTGCAGTGCCCTGGGAAGTAGTGGGGCGTTAGGGACAAGACTGATGCTCATCCTACCAGATAACCACGTCACATCTGGTTTCCCTGGGGGGACCTGGAATACGTACATACACACAAATCTAGACAACTACATGCACAGTCACATGCTGCTTCAATGCAGCATGAAAGTGTTTTTCAATTTATTTACGTACAAATGTTTCAAAGATACGGTACAATAAGCACTCACTAGGAGTGCACTATAAACATAACTTCCGTGTTACGAGTGCACTAAGTAGGAAATACCGGATTTTACAAATAATGTGTGACGCGTATACTACATTCAGAATACCTTTGAAGACCAAAAAAATGTCATTTTTCCTACCATAGGGGCAACAAAACACAGTCATTGCTAATGCGACCATGTTCCTGAGCACATCTGAATGGTCTTGTGGAAATATATGTATGTTTCATTAATTGACTGACATAAAAATCAGAGGTTTTCACAACATGTAAATCATTTTGATATTGCAATTTTGTGAAACACCTGGTAATGTTAGAGAGAAAAATTTTTCCCAGTCCTTTTAAAATTCACTGTCTTATGAGACTTCCTTCATAAAGGCAGGTTTAAACCTGCAAAATTATTTGTCCACACTATGGACATCTTCAAATAATAAAATAAGCTCATATTATTTATTGGATTTTCATGCATATGAAATATAACCATGGAAAATGCTTTTATAATTTTAAAAATTACTTTTTTTCATATTAAGGTATAATATATACAGATTGACATAGTCAAATGACATTTATAATTCTGCAAAGAATTCATAGTTAAAATTAACATTAAGGTATAGAACATTGTAGATGTCAAAGCATAATGGAATTGCACTTGAATCAGCCCAGTTTAGATTTCAGACAGAACCTGGGTTACTCTCCACTGTCTTCATGTGCTACATGATTTTTTTCATACTTTATACATAAAAATATGATTTTCCTGCATTCATTAAAATACAAAATGTGATTATTTATATATGTATAACTTAAACTCAATGATGGCTTTTGAAGGAATTAAAGCACAAAAGATAGGTTTCTTTATTTAAAACAAAATAAAGAGGAATATGGTAGGACTTAGACCAGCGGTTCTCAACCTGTGGGTCGCGACCCCTTTGGCGGTCGAACGACCCTTTCACTGGGGTCGCCTAAGACCATTCTGCATATCAGATATTTACATGACGATTCATAACAGTAGCAACATTACAGTTGTGAAGTAGCAACGAAAATAATTTTATGGTTGGGTCACAACATGAGGAACTGTATTTAAAGGGCCAGAAGGTTGAGAACCACTGACTTAGACTCATTTTGAAGGCAATTTTAGTATACATATGCCAATTAATAAACAATTCTGAGTTACATTTATCACCAAGGGTTAAAAAATACTCAGATACACTTTATATTACCCACTGCCTCTCTGAGTTGCATACATTCTCATTTATAGTATTAATTTTTTTAATAAAATGAAATTTAATGAGGAGTTAGAAGTGATCAATGTGATAGATAGGTATATATTATATATTGTTTTCTGTTTTAAGAAGCTGTTTAAGAAAAATATTAAAATATTTTAAATGCAACAAGTTTAAAGATAATAACCACGATTATTAGACAAAAACATCTATATTATAAATTCTGCACGACTCGAGTATAAAAGTACTGTTCTTCCTGAAATGCATTCATTTCATAAATTTCAAAGTCAGAATTCTAGAACAACTGAGATACTTATGGCCATGCCTCAGGCTTTTCTTTTTTGTAGCTTTACTCTTTTAATTAATATTTTAAAAAACCTGAATTTACATAATATATCCAAACTTTTAATATCCTACTTACAGGAAATTTACTTCAAACTATATTTCATCAAATAAATTCAGTTATAGTCAATATAAATCGATTAGAGATTATGTCAATATTACGTGCATTAATGAAAATTAATATCTATACATACCCGGTTTCTTTTAAAACAGTCAATTACCATAAAATGCAAATTCTCATACAGATGCCACTGCATTTTGGTTTTCACTCCCCAACTGTTTTCATGCTTATAGAACTGATTCCTTTATAATTGGACATTTGAATTTCAGATAGAAACCTTGGTAATGTTCTCTCCATGTGGCTCAGCTAGTTGGAGCATCATCTGTTCTGAACACCAAAAGATTGCAGGTCTGATTCCGGGTCAGGGGACATACCTAGGTTGTGGGTTTGATCCCCAGTCGGGGGTGGGGAGTGTAGGAGTGGCAATGGATGTATGCTTCTCTTACATCGATGTTTTTCTTTCTCTCTCCCTTCCCCTCTCCTTAAACAATCAATTTTAAAAATATCCTTGGATGAGAATTAATAAAGTATTTTGATTGTGTATCTATTTATTGATATATATTAAACTTATAACTGTAAACTTTTATTAAAGATGAGCTAAAACCAATGGTCTATGGTACATGAAATAGAAGAGAAGGTAGGTGTCTGTGAAGGACGCTCAGCCCACACACCTTCCGCATCGATGCCCGGAACCCCGGTCCTTCGAATGTTCAGTAGGACTGTACTGCACACCAACCGCTGTCCTAGGGGTCACACCCTTTCCTGTCTCAACAATAAATACCTGGGTTCCTTCTGCACTTTGTGAAAGTCTTATGTGCTCTTTTCGATGATTCACTCAGTCCTTTATAGCTCAAATATTTCCTTTCCCCCAAATATGGCTATTCTATTTTATAAAGGAGACACCTATTTTTTTCTCAAAAGCATATAAATATTTTATTTTTTGAACTTAATGAATAAAATCGACTGTTATTCCCTACTTCCCCCTCTCCTCCTCCCAACCTTCAGCTCATGGGCAACAGAGGTTAATACTAACCAATGAAAGGTCTTCAAGACACAGTGAAGCCGGAGAACAGCCTTCCATCAGAACGGGTTGAGGCGAATGCCAGTCCCTAAGGGTGAGAAGGGGTTCACCTTGGCCCACATCAGAGCATCGTTCAGGGAGATGGCGGATTTCCCGTCTTCAAGGAGGTACACGGGGCCCTGCACACGGCGAGAGTGGAGGGAAGAAGAGGAGTAAAAATCCGCAACATGTTTTTAAACAGAGACAATCCCTCCAATAGAAAACCCATGGGTGATGTTTGCACGGTGCCCACAGGAAATGAAAAAATATAGACTTGACTTTGGGTGGCAAACCCACAATACAATATACAGTGATGTATTAAACATTGTACACCTGGAACCTATATCATTGTATTAACCAATGTCACCCCAATAAATTCAATACAAATGTTAAAACAAAAATATGAGAAAAATTAGTTTTTTGAACTGCTACCACTATAGAAACATTTTAAAACATCTTAATGTTATATATATCCTGGTGTCTTTCAAAATAGGACTTAGTTTCATAATTTGAGATCTTTAAATACAGCAGTGTTAACAGAGATAACAGGTAATGTTAATCTGTTAAATACTACAAAGTTATCATTTAATAAAGGCATATGTGCCTCGTCATAGCCTTAAACGTACTTCACTGTTTAATTATACAGCTAGGAAGTTATTCAAGCCGGCACCTCTGAACCTGCTGTGTGTGTGTGTGTGTGTGTGTGTGTGTGTGTGTGTCTGTATAATTAAAATCGCACCAAACGTGTGATTTGCCAGCAGAGCTATAATTTAGTTATATCAGTTAGTCCGTATGTCAAGGGCAGTTCTGAAGAACTAAATGCAAAAAAATAACAACAAACAAAAATCCCCTTTTAATCTGTATTGCTTAGCTCTTAGAAGGAAAAGCACAATTTTCAAAACACAAAAACCTTGCTTATTTATGTTCTAAAGTTACCAGGTTTCTGAGCATGATTTCAAATAATACAGCTTGTCAACAAATTATTTGTAGACTGGAGGCCCGATGCATGAAATCCGCAGCCCCGTTAGACAGTACCTGGATTTTTAACCCCGTGAGACAAGAGATGTGAGCATCCGAATGGCTGGGAAGGTGGGACCCCGTCACATAGTCCGGCCCCACCATCCCTCTGAGCGGCTCGGCCTGCAGTCTCTGGAGCAGGGCTGCGTACACCCTTCTCTGTGACTCGGAAGCGGGTGTGTAGGGAGAGTCCTCTGATGATCTGTGTTGTCAACACACATTGCATTTGCATTTTTGTAAAATCACAGAATCATTAAGGCTTAGACTAGAAACAGTCCCGATGGCTTTCCAGCCCCCCTTCATAGATGATGCCAGATCAACTTTAGACGCAATTTACAGTAAACATGAAGGACTCAGAAAAAGGGCAGCATTGTAAATTATTACTGAATATCTGCTAAGCAAACCAAGCGTCCTTCTTGTGCTCGCGCGAATGACGACAATCCGCACTCTGAACGGGCCTGTGGACGACACTAAGCATTCCCGCTCTTTGTCAGAGTCACTCACGGGTGGACGGGCTGCGTGCAGGCTCTCCACGCCTCCAGCTCCTCAGAGAGGCGCTCGATGGTCAAAGGCACGGACACCTCCCGGCGTTTCAACAGCTGACTGCAACGTGAGGAAGAAATGAACAGCTGACATCTAAGACTAAGACACCAGAAAAGCAAATAAACAACTGCAATTGTAGATTTCACAGCTATTGTTCAAAAATTCTTGTGTATACCTGAGTGTGTGTGTGTGTGTGTGTGTGTATGTGTGCCTGCTCACTGTGTAGGTAGCCTGTAAGTGCTGGCGAGTCATAGATGGTCCACAGCTGTGGGCTGGGTGACAGTCTGAGGAGGGAGGGACGGATACATGAGCTGCATAATGTTCGAGAAGCCAAGCTCTGCTGACGGATGGCCACGCACGGCTACTGCAGGGCAGTGTGTGTCTGCACTAACATGAATGTTGGGAGTAAGAAAGCAAGTGGGAGAGCAGTCGGACAATGTCAGCTGGTGGGGAGGATGGGACGCGGCTGCGTTCTCTACGACAGAGCTGGGCCAAGAGGCAGGGCCCGGCGACGCAGGACCCACCCGTCCTTGTGGATGACACAGCGCAGGCTGAGCGGATAAGGACGTGTGCGGCAGTACTGGGGACACCACTCAATGAAGAACCCCCTCCTCTCCCGGCAGCAGGGGTGCCCTTACCTCGTGTACTCATAGAGAGCGGGGACGATGCTCGCGTACTGTCTCCTGGCGGCCAGCAGCGCGCCCGAGTAGCCACTCAGTATGAGCAACTCGTTCCGCGCTCTGCGGGGGAAGATGGTTCGGTTTAAGAATCCCATTGAAGTCTAGAGCATCATTCTCATCTGTAGTTACTGTACTTGTGTCTGTTTTAATGGGTGACATTGACAGCAAACTCTGTTTAGAAAATGTTCTGAACTTGAGGGTGCTGCCTTCATTAGGCAACTCAGACAGGCGTTGTGCTATGATAAATTCAGGCTCAAAACACCGATCTTCAACATTATCTCACTCTCGCCTTCTTGTTTTTCTAGGTTACTCCGCTGCTTCTTCATGTGCTCGCTCCCTCGGGAGCTGCTGGGTCAGAGTAGGAATCCCCATCACACGGACTCTCACCCACCACCTTCCTGCCCAGGATCTGCCACGCATGCAGACACGGCTTCACCTTTTCACACGGGCATCAAGCAAAAGTGGCCCAAGGCCTCCATCACAGATTATCCACAGTCTCGGGACCTCAGCCACATGGAACAGTGACCTTGAACCAGGGGCAGGGGACCTCTGGCCCGAGGGCCGTGTAAGGCCCGTGAAATCATTCGGTCTGGCCCTGCCAAGGCATGAGGGGTGAGCTAATGAAATGTTTGACCAAATAGAGCAGGCTAGTTTTTAAGCTGATAATTTTGTGTGGCCCAAGAATGATGTTATGAATATCCAACTGGCCCTCGGCAGAGGAGGTTCCCCACCCTGCCTTAAAGGACACTTGTTTCTGGGGGCAGCGTCCACCTTTGACGTCCTAGCGCTTTCACTTCTTCCCCAACCCAGCATGCTTTGCACACATGGGGGGTTAACAGGTAAGACCACCAGTTTCTCAGGACTGTGAAGTCCAAAACCACCAAAAAGCTTTAAATCAGCCCCATTTGAACCTGGTGTGTATGTGTGTATGTGTGTGTACATACCTATATAAACATACAAACGCTATTAGTAAAGGAGCCCACTAAGATTTATGATTCCTGGTTCAAACTGACCTCTGCACTTTTTCTTAAGATGACAACGGATAAAAACATAATTTTTTCGACATGTCCTTCTACCTGCCCAAGACGATCTTAGTTCCTGATCTAAACACCAAAACTCGCAGAGCCCCCGTGAAACACCACGTGGCTGGAGTGATGGGTTCTGGGGAAAGGTACTCACTCGGTACATGTGGGCAGGAGTAACTTCTCCGTCTGAATGTAACTCAGCAGGTCAAGAACGGGGTGAATGGTGTCCAAAGTCCAATCGGAACTACTGATGTGTTCTGGCAAACAGAACGAAATGAAGAGTCTCTAAGGAGCAGCGGTCATGTCTCACCCACTGTTGAACCCATGTGATCAGCTCCCTTCTGGTGAATCCTATCTGTCCCTGGGATCAGATCACAGGTATTCATTCACCCACCCACCCTCTCTCAGGCCCCACCCCATATGGTCAGCAGTGTCTTTCCTTTCTCAAGGTAGGGTGGCTCGTGCTTGATGTGAAAGCTTTTTAGCAGTATAAATGAAAATATGAGATAAATGAGTAGATTTCAAATGTCTCTACCAACTAAACACTCACCTTTGACAAAGTCAATACCAACAGGAAGGGCTTTTTCAGGTTCTTGACTTAACAAGTAATACTTTACAGCTTCAAACACATTGCCATCTGCATGCGCTGTCTCCGCCAACTGCATACATTCTTCTACGGTGGGCAGCTTGCACTAGAAAATAATCGGGTTGAGGACAACATCACCAAAATGTGCAGAGATAAAAGTAACAGTATAAGTACTAAATAAGCTTCATATTTATTTCTTATGAAAGTTGCTCAAAATAGATGTGCATAAAATAACTTCTACTGAGATATATTTATGAAGCTATCTTGAAGGTGTAATAATAATAGTGATAATCATTAATAATAATAAATAGGATGTTACCCAAGAGTCAGTGGTTTTTATCACCCATTACCTAATAAAAGAGGGGGAAGTGAATTGCCTTGGTTGTGATATTGGAACTAGTGCCTGCAGCCGTGACTTAGGAAAAAATGCTGAGATTAGTTATTTTAGAACAAATATGCTGACCATTATAAAGAACTAATGTACACAATACATTAATTTCATGTGACCTCTGAGACAAAGCAGCTTCATTTCAATAATTGTACAAGCTCTGCAAGTTTTAGCTTTGCCGTCCGGAAATCCTACACTGTGTGGGGTTGGAGCCCATGGAATGTCATCACTGTGGCATGAGAAGCAGTACTCCCCATGGTCTCCATTTTTAAAAATCCGGTTAAAACCGAGTCTATTCCTCCCACAGGTGAGTTCTGCTTCCATAACAAGGCAGGAATTATGTTATCTCCTGGATCAAATTCCAATAATGTCCATGGTTGGTTCAGTTAAATTGTTGAATTGTGTTGGTTAGTTTCTGAGTGACACTGATAAACAGTTTGATGCTCTGGCTCCCACCACTCTGGCCACCACTGCAATGAGCTGCCACAGCAAGAAATGGTTTGCGTTATGACTCTGGAAAGTGTGCCTCACCCCCATGAGGTCACCTGTCTCTTCTCCTGGGGGACCTGCCACCCTCTTCCCCTCACTTTTCTCTTATATCCCCTTAAGTGACCAAAAAGTAAGTTTATTCAATTCACTTACTTACTAATGCATTTACTCAATAGTTTCTGTTGTTTAAAAATTAGGTATATTTAACATTACAGATCACTCAACCTCTCAGAAAAATCACCACAAACTACAACACAGGAGCTCTCATGTGAATGACACCTCCTATTGTTTCCTATCTCTACTCACTAAGCAACAGTTATTTATTGAGCAACTCCTATGTGCGTGGTACTGTGCCTGGCTAGATTAAAAAAAGGCTTCTTCACTTTGAGGAACGCTCAAAGAGCAGAGGGGATGAACCCCTTGGACGCTATCAGCGTCTACAGATGCAGGAGGCGGACCTGCCCCACACGCCACCCGCGTCTATAGCCGCAAACCTCGCGTATCAACTCTGGTCGCCCAATTTTAAAATCAGACTTGCTGGTGACGTCTCTGGGTTTGTAAAGAAGATCACGGTAACTTAAATTGTAAATATTCCAGCGCATATGGAAGAAAAGGGGATGGTTTCCGTTTTGGATGCATGGCAGTTAACTGGTAAAAACAGTGGTCCCCATTTAAATTTCCCACTCAAATAGGATAGGACAAGAGGAGTAAGGTGATCACCCCTGTAATTCTTGTTGAATCTTAAAGTTCTGGAAGTTGTGTAACATAATATTTGAATATATAATTGTCTGTACTACTTGTGAAGTTGTCCAGCTAGTCGCTTCTTCACACATTCTAACTAGTCTTTCTGAAGTGTTATTAATGGAGTCTGACGAGACAGTAATTATGTTCTCCAGAATGTGCGTGCGGTGAAAGACTTGGTGGAGACCTTCCCGCCCCTCCGGCCCCACTTTAACAGCTGTGATCGCAGTCAGGTGCTAATCTCCCTAAGCCTTCTGGGCCAGGGACATGCCCGTGTGCAGTAAGACAGTGCGCAGCCATGTAAAGCGCAACCTAAAACAGCATCCCTCTTCCTTCCGTGTGCATCGATTTCCACAAAAAATAATTTTCATTTGTCATGTTTATGAGCAAAGCACAGCTCATTTATAAAGCGAGTCAGGGAAGACAAAGCGTATAAGGAAGTTAAAGTCACTCAGCTCACAACCCATTCGTAACTCTCAACATTTATCTTTTCACAAGTATTTTCTCTGATATCACACTCACACTCACACACATACACACACATACAAATACACATACACACTTTCACACTCACAAACACACTCATACTCCCACAAACACACACACACACACACACACACACACACACACACACACTTGGTTTATCTATATTAACACAATACTCAGTAAGTACCCATTATTGAATGAGTAGGGCCACTCACACTGGGGGGAACATCAAGGTTCATATAAGTAAAAAATCTTTGTTATTTTTAGAGTTGAAGATGAGAACATTTTTTACTTTTATCTTTTGCTCAAAAGAACTATATGTATCTTCTTAAATATGCCGTGTAGTCATTTTCAGAATGAAAATCACGTGGCGTGTGCGTAGTGTCATAATCTGCTTTTCACTTGTTTTACAGCTGACTAATGTCAATAAAAACAGAACTTCAAGATCTTTTTAATGCATTAGTAGCACTAACACACAGAAATGTCCTACAAGCTATATAAACATATAACCTCCCTATTGTGGAACACTTGGGTTGTTTTATATATAATCTCGGTACATAAATTCCTATATTCTGCAAAGGAGCATTCTTTTAAAGCACTTAAGAAAAATGCATGCAAATTTCATTATACGTTATCAATTCTTTTAAAGGCCTTAAATTGTCTACTTTTAAAAGTTGACATTCATGCTCCTTGAGTGCAAAGGGGAGCAGTGGGAGGGCTGGGGCTGGGGGCAGGCATTGAGGCTGGTGGTCTCGCCCACCATTCACTCACTCAGGCAACAGCTTCCTTCCCTCCTCTGTGCTCACTTTCTTTATGCAATAGGAACAACACCCCCTGCTTTTCAGGGTTTCGTGAGGACAGAGTAAAATACAAATACATGTGAACATTTAGAAGAGTTCCCAGCACAGGGCAGAAGCTCAGTAACAGTTACTTCTTAGGATCGTCTTTGTTGTATATATACAAGGGCCCCAGGGAGACCAAATCTTTGCTTCTCTGTTTGTATCTCAATCCCTGAACCTGAAATGAGTTAAGTCACGGTTCTGCGTCCCCGACTACCTTCTCGCGGAGATCGCTCATCTCCTCCTCGCAGCCTGGGTAGAAGGCACAGAGCTTCACCAGCTGAAGTTCATTATCTGGAATCATCAGGAGCAGATCGGCTGCCAAATTCCTGGTCACATAACAAAAGGGGAAACGCCCATGAAAACAAAACTGCACACACAACACGAGAACTAAGTCCGAGGAAGGAGGCTCAGGGTATCTCCCACGCCGCCCTAGCTTCACAACAGCACTAACCTCCCGCTTAACCATGACGCTCCTCGGCACAGATTCCAGGGACCAAAGGGCGTGGAGGAAGAATGTGTGATGAGATTCCTAAATAGTTCTTTTAAAAAATATGTTCTTATTGATTTCAGAGAGAGGAAGGGAAAGGGGGAGAGTCATGGATCGGCTGCCTCCTGCACGCCGCCTGCTTGGATCGAGCCTGCCACCCAGGCATGTGCCCTGACCTGGGAATCAAACCCTGACCTCCTGGTTCAAGGGTCAACGCTCAACCACTGAGCAGCACCGGCCAGGATCCAAATAGTTTTTAAAGCTCTAAACGGAGTCTTCACATGTTCACAATTGATTCTGTCACTATATAATTGCCTAATCACACTGAGTTGAATTAGATCTGTGCTTTGGAATGAATTGCAGACTGTGAAGTGAATGCTCGCCAGCCATGGACAGGGTGTCACTCATTAGAGTACGCAGGTTATGTTTGGAAGCCGGGCATCCTGCCTATCTGTTAAACATTAGGTGGATGTCACACACAAATGCAATTTTCTCATTTACATTTTTAGAGATGTGATCAATGGAATAAATCACTGAAAACTAAGGTGTGTAAGAAATTGCATGTACAGCAGCTTTACATTAAAAATACTTTTTTTGCCCAGCTGGTGTGGCTCAGTGGTTGAGCATTGACCTATGAACCAGGAGGTCATGGTTTGATTCCTGGTCAGGGCACATGCACAGGTTGTGGGCTTGATCCACAGTAGGGGGTGTGCAGGAGGCAGCTGATCAATGATTCTCTTTCATCACTGATGTTTCTATCTTCTTCTCCCTCTCCCTCCCTCTCTCTGAAATCAATAAAAATATATTTAAAAAAATAAAGTATTTTTTATAAAATTCTTTTCTAAAATCACTAGATGGAGTTTTTGGTTGCATGCATCGTAACTGAGAAAACACTAATTTTCATAGTTTGAGATGTTATTATTCAGCTTTCAAGAAACTGATCAACATTCAGCATGACTTCAGAAGAGGCGATACTTCAAGTGTGAGTTAGGAAGGGTGTGCTGCGGACTGAGACAGACCCTCCTTCACCTCCGTGCGAAGCCTTCAGGGAAATCTAGATCGGCCATTAATGTGAACGAGCTATTTTTAAAAACATTAAGAGATATTTAATCAAGAATATAGTGAGCATAGAACAATAGAGATAATTTGTTGTGTCTCATTTTCTATTATCATTGCAAAGGTAAATCTTTGAATGTGTTTACAATTTCCAAATTAAAGTAATTCATCTGTTCTTGCTAAAATTATGAATGACTTTATGTTTTCTGACACTAACAGTTAATAGCAGTTTTCAATAATGTCCATGAGAATATAGAAATTACTTGCTTTTATAATGTATAAAATTGCCACCCTAAAATTCTACTCAAACTTCTATCAACTACAGACAAAAACCTGTATTGAATTATATCCTGATACAGTAAAATTTACAGCAATGCTATCTAATTTTATTCACTCGTTAGGTAAAATCACTACTTACTGAAAATTTAGCAAACCATATTACAAATAATGATATGGACCAAACAAATGATCTAACCTCTTAAATTTCACTATCAGAACAGGCACTTCAATTTGCTTAGCTGAATTCGCTATTATTTTATATTGTAGAGAGCCACAGTTCACTTATTATACACCTCTAAGTATAAAATCACAAGTGCTTTGTGCCTAGGTTATAGGAACTTTTGTCATTCCTCTGTGTTTAGGTTTTATATGCTATAAATTGTGGAAATAAATTGGCATTCTGTAAGACAAAGTGAAAACAGTTAATGATAATTTCTTACTACAGAGTTGGTGTCCCAATAATATAGAATATAAATATTTAATTAAGCAGTTTTTATAAAAGTAGATGATACCTGTATTCATCAGATGGAAAGCTAAAAGGAAAACAATTCTGGATATGAATACCATAGACAGGCAATGAGAACCAACCAGCAGCGAACTTTAACCAGCAAACACAGACATGTGAAGGATTCTTGGTTTATGAAGTTATACGCATTCTACTGAAACTATGCTGCTATCTTAATTTTTCTTTAAAATCTGTGGAGCTCTACTAGCCATTGGACTTACAGATCTCCATTCCCCCGCAAATAACCGATCAGCATCATCTATTTCGGAATTTGAACTGTGCCCTGGTTTTCGGCACACATATCTACGTATCGATGGGTATATAAAGGAAGAACTCCTGGGGGAGTTACAGGGAAACAGACGTTTGCTTTATATTAAAAGCACCTAAGATATATAGTCAGCTGAAAGATTTTAAAAACTCTTTTAAATTCAGTATCTATTCCTGTTTGCCTTTTTTTTTTTCTTTCACATAAACACACACACACACAAACCACATTTCCTTAGATTGGGTGCTGACTGTACATGGAGGCAGTCACCTCTCAGAACAGGCCTTGTGCTTTGGGATGGGTCTGAGGGAAGCCACGGCGACGAGGTGACTGACCACTGCAGTTCTCGACCGAGGGAGACCTGGGTCTCTCAGAGGGGCAGCAATGCGTACACCGATGGGGGGGGGGGCACCACGGCGTGCTGGGGTGGGGGGAAGAGGCTCTCCTACCCCCGCGCCATATGGGTCACGAAGAACAGCTCTGGGATGCCCGGCTCACTCTAGAGCTCCCACGTGCGGGCAGAAAGGAGAGTGGACAGTGTTGCCTGAGTCAGCCCCCACAGGGGGCAGAATTGTGTGATGGCTGCTGCAGTCTGCATGTGTGTGCCCCCAAACTCACGCGTGGAAACCAAACCCTCAAGGAGATGGTACTTGGAGGTCAGGCCTTGGAAGGTGCTCAGGTCAGGAGGGCAGAGCCGGCATGAACAGGGCTGGTGCCCTCACAGACGAGGCCACAGAGAACCCCCCTCCCCATGGGACACAGTGGAAGATGCCAACTGTTAACCAGGAGGCCAGCTCCATGGACACCTAATCTGCAAGTGCCTGGATCTTGAAGGTCTCAGCTTCGAGAACCATGAGAAATGCATTTCTGTTGTCTACGAGCTGCCGGAGTGTTTGTTACAGCAGCTGTACTGACTGAGACCCTAGGTAAGAGTGCACACTTTGGAGACTATTCATGTGGCCTTGAATCCTGGTTCTGACCACGCACTGAGGCCTGAGGTGAATCTGAGAGCTCATCTTAAGAGTGGCGTGTGTGCAAGGGGTGTACAGCGGGGAGAGGTCAAAGTTCTAGCAAACAAGCTTATCCAAAAAGTCTCGAGGTGCTAAGTAATTAGGTGAGAGAGAAGATTAAAGTCTAAAACCATCTTTACTCAACACATACCTTCTGAGTGACAGCATCCCCTGCATCTTTCCTAAAGTCCCTCCCTAATGAAGGGCGGTCGGCCCTGAGGACAGGGCTCTGCAGAGGTGAGCGGGAACCCACTGGACCAGGAAGCCCAGGTCGCCCCTGCCACTTCCCAGGGTCTGTCCCTGAAAGCGCTGCCAAGTTCGAGGCAATGGCCTGTGCCAAGTCCCCGGTAAACCACCTTAGTTATTACTCTCCATTGGAAACGTGACCTTATTTCCCAAACCTTAAACCAAGACACAGGATCTGACAAGGAGGAGCAGGGATGCAGAATTTGACATGTGGGAATGTGTGGTCCTGATAATCTTAAGATGCACACATTACTGTCTCCTGATGCTTTATGGGCTGGGAGTTCTATGGAATTACAGCTGGGCTACTTCAGGATGGGCCACGGTAGATTTCATTACACAACCGTTACTTCATTCTCACACCCCCCTTTCCTCTCACAATCTTATCCTTTATTAAAAAAGGAGACCCTGCTCTCAAAAAAGATGCTTTCTGATATTTGACCAATACAAAGAATGTCTGTGGTAGGTTTTTATAAGTATTCATTACCAGATTAAGTACATTTCTTTTTATTCCTAGTTTAAGAGATTTTAATACTCTTATTATATACCAATACTGACTGTTATCAAATGACTTTCTGTATCTTTCTGACAATAATATGATTATTCTATGTCATTCCATTAATGTGATAAATTATATTAATTGTATTTCTAAAGTTATCCAACTTTATTTCTCTGGTATAAAGGCAAGTTACCCTTGATCCTTTTCTATAGGCCTGACTTTGGCTAGCTAAGTATTTGGTTCCAGACTTTTGCTTCCATGTTCATGAGTGAGATTCTCTGGCAGTTTTTCTTTCTGTACTGTCCTTGTCTAGTTTAGGTATCAACTATATGTTAGCTTCTGATAATAAAAAAACACACACAAAACAGGACACCCTGTATACTCCCAACAAGTGATCAAATGCGACTTGCAAGACTGAAGAGATGCATTCCATCACCATAACATTCTTTTTTTGCATTTAGGAGCTCTTACCACATTGGGATCATCATGCATTTTCTGGCCAACAATTCCAGGGCGTAGTGGGTGGCTGGGGCTGCCGACTCGCCCAGGACCGTGCCCACGCAGACTGCCAACTCCAGCTCGTTCCCGCGGAGCAGGGATGCCATGGCCAGCTTGCCAGGGAGAAACAATGTCCTCAGGGTCAGAGACGCACACGGGGCAGGGGCACCGCTCCCGCCAAGCTCAGGAAGCAGAGCAGGGTGCATTAGCCAACACTCAGGCATTCTTATAAAATCCTGCTGCACTATTTCTACACAGGACGTAGGGGTGACTGCAATTTCAAGCGGAAAAGCTGATAAAGGGACATACAGGAAATACTCTCTAAGGTTAGAATTTAAGGATTTGGAGCGCTTGCTCATATTTTTGTAATTAACAACAGTCTCTCTGCAATGTCCTCAATATGTCCTTCAGTTTCTATCAGAAAAAAAGGTAAATTATTTTTTAAATGTATTTTTATTGATTTCAGAAAGGAAGGGAGAGGGAGAGAGAGAGAGAAACATCAATGATGAGAGAGCATCACTGATCAGCTGCCTCCTCCATGCCCCACACTGGGGGATCAAGCCCTCAACCCAGGCGTGAGCCCTGACCGGGGATCGAACCATGACCTCCTGGTTCATAGGTCAATGCTCAACCACTGAGCGACCTGGCAGGGCAAAAGTGTCAGTTCTTAAAAGCTTCCTAAGTAGTGTACGATGAGTATCAATTATCCCGGGAAGGCAGTGTTCTAGGAGCCAGGAGCCCCCAGTCTGCATCTTTACTTAGGATTTCCCTGATTCCATTAGTGGGTCCCGTGGGAAACACCCTAACAGTATAACTGGCGAAGAACATACTGAAGTAAAGTAAGATCTTTCAAACGTCAGGAGTGGAGTGCAAGTGCAGCGACTTCCCCTTTACCACCTCTTGCTTCACCTACAACGAGATACTTCGAGCCAGCTCGTCACAAGAGGCCCTTGTGATAGAAATTTAAAACGGAAGGACAGATCCCAGGGCCTGCGCAGTGTCCCCCTTGGCTGGGAAAGCATGCTGACCCGGATATGACTCAGGAGTCAGCCTGTTGTCCCTCAGACACCCGCCCTTCCCCTCACATGCCCCCTCCGCCCCACTGTACCTCCACATCGTCCACGGCCAGGTGGCAGCAGGCGGCCCGCACCGCCCGGCCGCCCTGGAAGTGCCACTCCGCCAGCTGTGCGCTCGCCGCGTGCAGGAGCCTCGGGAGAAGAGGAGGGGAGAAGAGGGGGACATTCTAGATCAGCAGGCGCCCCAGGAAGGGAGCTGATGCCCTATCACAGGCTGGTGCGCGGATGGGAGGGCCCTAACTGGACCCCCGGGACTTAGGTCGAAGCCGGACTTGGGGGACGTCAGGACAATAATCTTTCTTAGCAGACGAGCTGGTGAGGCCCCTAATGTCAGGAAAAGGCCTGATTTTCAAAACTTGCCGCCCCTCCTGGAATGAGCTGAGACTCGGCGGCAGGGGGCAGTTAACCTGTGGAGAGCTGCAGGCGGAGCCCTAACTTTCCAAGGTTTGGGTGGTGATGGGCCATGGGAAGTGTGCGTGCTAGGTCTGCAAGAGGCAGGAGTGGGCTGGCAGAGGGCAGCCAAGACCAGGAGGAAACGCTGGTCCCAACACATCACTGCCCAACATTTTATGACCCTTTTTACCCGGTCAGTGTCCTAATCGTTCCAATGTCCTATGTTCTAGGGCGAAACGGGAGCCGAGAGAAGAGGCCGGGAAGGCGGGCGACTAGATTTGGAAAAGGGAAAGACGCTGGAGATGTCTAGTCCCCTTTCCTTTGCAAACGCAACTCTGGATTTCTTCTTTGCAAGAGGCTGAAATGCTACTCCAGACACTAACCCTGGGGCCATGGGTGATGAGCAATGTCACCGGGCCGGTCCGCACTGACTGCACAGGGAGCATCGTGGCCCCACACAGCCCTTCCCCAGGGGCTGCCTCAGCCTTAGGACTCAGGTGCTGGCCTTGCAGTCTCCACACTGAAACCCGTTTGCCTTCCTGGAAGCTAAAGGGGGTCTAGGCTGCCCCCACATGGCTGACATGTCCCTGTGCACCTGGCGTCGGAAGCTGCCACAGAACCTGGATCCTGGTGGGAAATGCAGGGGGACCTGAGCCAGCCACGTCCTTGTGTGCAAAGGAAGACGGGCTACAGGGCCCTGAAATACGCCGAGAGGGAAACCAGCCATAGAAAACCTATCGACCCCAAACACGGCATCGCCGCTCACCCAGTGAAGTCCTCCCCGCGGGCGTCCTTGGGACCGGAGGCTCCGTCAGGGGTGGAGACGTGGCAGGTTTGCATGTTTCCCTCACACGCAGCCTGGGATGGAACGAAGACTTTCATCACTCTCTTTAAAAATTAATCTTTATTGTTGAAAGTATTACCGATGTTCCCTTCTTCCCCCCACTGACCCCCTCCTCTCACTCCCTACTCCTCCCCAGGCCTTCACAGCACTATTCCTTTTTGTGTGTGTGTTAATTCTCATCCAAGGATATTTCTTGCCCATTGATTTTTAGAGGTGGGGGGGAGGGTGACGGGGGGGGGAGAGAGAGAGAGAGAGAGAAACATCAATGTGAGAGAGACACATCGATTGGTTGCTTCCCTCACCCACCCCAGCTGGGGCCAGGGGTCCAGCCTGCAACCGCGGTCTGTGCCCTTGACCAGAATGGAGCCCATGACCCTCAGTCCCAGGGCCGATGCTCCCACCACCGGCTAGGGCACACACCGTTACTTGAATTAATCTTTAGCTCACTGTTGGTAAGTGACACATTTCAGACTAGTATTTTGAACAAAGGATACCTAAGTCATGCTTGAAATTTATACCATAATTTGGAGCCACCTTAGAATTTGAAAAAAAAAAAACCAAAAACAAAAAACAGGTGAACTCCGTTGTATGAACATGGAGCTTCAGTGCTCGGTTACCAGGAAAAGCTGGTCGAGCTCATGTAACGTTCAGCAGTGAACAAAGGCTCCGAGTTCAGGGTATGTGAGGACCTAAAACGAGGTCAGTGTGACCACGGCACAAACCCTGGCCTTCCCTGACTCTGTGAAGATGGCCATCAGTCAACAGGACCCTCTCCCTTCCACACCTACTCTCCAACATGCGCAGCGTGACTCTGCACCTGTACCTGGGCCACAAGCAGAGCTTCTTTAAGCTGACCCCGGGCCATAAAAAAGTGGACCAGTTTTCTCACATCCCCAGTGGCGATGCAGTATGGGATGGCGTCGTCCTTATCTTCCTGGATTAGCTGGTCGGCTCTCCTAATGAAATGAGAATAATTTCTCTTTTTACAACACAGTCATTTCAAGGCTCTCGGGTGGACTGAGCTTTTCTGAAATATCTAAACTTGGAGGCAGATTTCATAAAAGCTTTTTTGCATATCACTTTTTTAAAAAGACAGATGTTATGATCAAATCATAGAAGACAAAAACTTTCAGAAATAATAGATATTTCTTCCCTTAGACCACTACATATTTTAAATGTACTGACCAGGCAGGTCTTAAAATTAGTGCAGCTTATTTATTTGCACGAGCGATATATTTTTCTGAAGGTCAACTAGATAGACTAGATACAGCACCATGGCAGATCTGCTCTCGACTGGATTAACAAATGTGTGGGTGTCTGCTTTGTTAAAGAGAATTTTAAATGGTACTGTGAACACAATGATGAATAGAAAGCTTCTAAATGCCACTTGCTTAAAAATCATTAAAAAGACTGATGCAAGAACATAAATATTGATAATGAAAGGTGGGGTATTGTAAGTGACCCAGGAATGTTGCAGACAGGTGAAAGGGGTGGGGGATCCTGACGCCGAAGATTACGAAGGGTACCTGTGGGTGTCTCTGTCTCTATTGTATCCACGTCTGTCTGTCTCTGCTTCTCTTTCCCTACCATCGTCCCAGGTATTTTCCCAAAGGCCAGCTAGTTCCTTCCACTCTTAGTGTTTAACCTGCTTTGTTGAGCACGAATCTGGTTTATCTAATTTGCGTTGGCATTTGCACTAAATTGCATTTCGATGGCCAATCTTTGAGCAGGGGCAGTAGATGCATTTTATGTTGTTCTTCCAGCTCACCTTCCATCATCCCCAATGTACAGGGTCATTGGGGTCCCTCCCAACAGCTCTCTTGATACCACGTGACCCTGACTCCCTTGTTACAGCTGATTAGAAACAGTATTCTCCCCCTTGGCATTCGGAACTAGGAAGAGACCGCCAATCAAGCTCAATGGCCGGGTCTATGGAATGTAGACTTGGGAGCCTTGGGGAGAGAGATCATTTCCTGGCCACCATGTGGACCATGGAGCAGGGAAAATCTGGTGTCAGTTTTCAAAGATCAATGAAAAAGAGCTTTTGCTGAGGTTAAGACAAAACTGTTTTGAGGAATAAATGTCCTCAGCTAACTTGACCTCCTAAGGCTTCAGTAGGAGGAGTAGCACTCAGGACCCCGTAGCGAGGACCCGAGAATTCCCTGGATCTTGGAGCTTAGGGGAGGGAGCCTCCAGCGGAGGGCGGGGCCGCCTGCTGCTGAGCTCACAGCTGGGAGAGCAGGTGCTGGGGACCCTGCCTCCATGGCCAATGAGTTACTCCCGTGGTGCTCCAGGCTTCACTGATTGATTTTTAATGGTAAATGTGAGGTGCAATTCAATTTTATTACAAATCATGTACCATGAAATAAAAATGAAAAGTTTTTATTTTTAATGCTAGATATAAATACTCATTAAACAGTATTCTATAGGCCTAGCTCAGTGATTAACACATAATAAGCACTAAATAAATATTTGTTGAACGAATGAATGAATGAATGAATGGAGAATAGTCTTATGTTGTAAGTTAAAATGTGTCCCCCAAAAATATGTTGACATTCTGACCCATGGTATCTGTGAACGTTACCTTATTTGGAAATAGGGTGTCAATGTAATTAATTACGATAGGGTTATAGTGGGTCAGGGGTGAAGACAGACCCTCAATATGATATGGGTCATGTCCTTATCAAAAGAGGGGAATTTGGGCACAGGGACACACAGGAACAATGCCATGTGAAGACAGGCAGAGGTTGGAGTGATGTGTCTGCAAGCCAAGGACTGCTGGCCACCACCAGGTGCTGGGAGGAGGCGTGGATCTGATTCTTTCTCAGAGCCCCCCGCAGGAACCACCCCTGCCAATGACCTGATATCAGACCCCTGGCTCCGGAACTGGGACGGAATACATTTCCGTTGTTCCAAACCACCTCGCTTGTGGTGCGTTGTTATGGCAGCCCTAGAAAGCGAATACATCTTAGAAAGAAATCTTGTTTATGACATTTGTAAGCAAGGACACCTAGTCAAGCTTGCTTGGTGTTGACGCTCTCCTTGACCACCTGCTCCTCCCTAAGATCCCCGGAGAGGAAAAGGCGGGGATGAGTGTCTGCTGAGAGTTTCTGAGGTTACAGAGGAAGTATTCCACAAACATCTGGGAACCTTCGGAAAATCTCACCACTTACCGTTCAGTAGCAACACAGTCACCAGTGGGCATGTTTATGGACCTGTCATTTCATCCACTGACATGGGAAATTGGCCTTCCAATTACTTTATCAGATGTCAGGTCAAACATAAGAGCAGCAAAATGACTTGTAACCAATTAGTTTATTGTGTCAGAAGACATGAAAATTCAGTTATTATTTAAAAGAACGTAAAGTAGAAATCTCAAAAGCTGCCGTCCTCTTCACCTGTTGTTCCTACGCTAACATATCTGGAAGGGCTCTGGGATACAGACGGCCTTACCTCTGCGTTAACTTCCTCCAGTACTTCACCGAGACGCCTGGTGCCACGGACAAGGCTTTGTCCCACTGCAGCAGAGGGAGAAGAGCAGAAACACAGCGTTCTGATGCATAGTCTCACGCCCGGCAGACTTGTTCTTTAATGAACTCAGATTTATGAAACAAGATTTTAGAGTGTATTTAGAGTGTGAGCATTTCCAGAATTACTTTTCTATTCTATCTCATTCATCCCACAGAGTATAAATATTACTATATCCTAAATATTAAAAGCCTAATATGCTAATTAGATCAGACGTCCCTCCAGACGTCCTTCCGGACGACCTTCTCAATGAAGCCGGGCTGCGAGGGAAGCCCGGGTCCCGGGTGTCAGAGGGAAGCCGGTGCCGGCAGCCAGGGAAAGGAAGGTCTTCTCTTGCATGATTTTCATGCATCAGGCCTCTAGTCTATAATAATAAAAGCTTAATATGCTAATTAGACCAGACAGCCAAATGACCTTCCGGATGTCCTTCCGGATGACCTTCCAGACAAAGCCAGGGCTGCGAGGGCCAAGGCAAGCTGCCGCAGTTGCGAGGGCCAAGCCCCTTGCACGAATTTTGTGCATCAGGCCTCTAGTTTTAAAATGAAATGATATGTAAATTGTATTATTTAGCAGGGAAAATCCCAAACTAGTATTATACAGAGAGACAAGAGCTAGGAAGAGGGGGAGGAAGAGAGAAAGAAGGTGATGGTGGGGGAGGGATAGTAACTAGAGTTTTTAGTTTGAAAAATATATTAACTCATCGTCCAACACAACACCAGAGTAATTTTTCTGTGGTATTCTATGTTCTACGTTCAAAATAATTTGCACTGAGATTTTATTTCACTGTTATGTTTAACAAATATATCTATTTCTATTCTTTCCTTACTCATTTTTATAAATTACATTTATTGTAAGTTCTTCCTTTACAACTGGTAACACCAGTCTTCATATTTGAAATATTAGGCTACTAATAAAGAAGTTCATTGCTCAACCAAGGCTGACTGTGACTGTGATTTAAAAATATGGAGTTCAGCCCTGGATGGTTTGGCTCAGTGGATAGAGTGTCGGCCTGCAGACTGAAGGGTCCCAGGTTCGATTCCGGTCAAGAGCACATGCCTGGGTTGCAGGCTCGATCTCCAGTAGGGGTGTGCAGGAGGCAGCCTTTCAATGATTCTTTCCCATCATTGATGTTTCTACCTCTCTCTCTCTCCCTCTCCCTTCCTCTCTGAAATCAATAAAAAAAATATGGAGTTTACATTCAAGTCTGGAAGGGAAGTGAGGGGAAAATATTCTGAAAGATCACTACATAAATCAAAACTTCATTTTATTTAAAACATTTTTTAATCCTCACCGAAGGATATGTTTTTTAAATTGATTTTTAGAGAGAGAGGGAGGGAGAGGAAGAGAAACATCAATGTGAGAGAGAAACATCGATCAGTTGCCTCTGAGGTACGTGCACAACAACCTAGGTATGTGCCATGACCTTTCCTGTGTATGGGATGATACTCCAACCAACGGAGCCACCAGACAGGGTGCAAAACTTGGTTTTAATGAAGGCTTTTCAAAACAGAGCTCTACTGCAATTAAGGCTATAAAATTGGTAATTAGCCTACAATTAATGTTAAAATTTAATCAGGTAATTTTAAATATTATATAATTTATAATCATGCTACCTAAGGAAGGGAATCTAAATATGTTTTAAAGGGAAATTTAACTACACTATAGTAGGAAGAAATGGAAAAAATAAGTTGAAATGTAGACTAAATTAATGTCACCAAGCTCTTTCAATAAAAACAGGTCTTGTAAGTGAAAAGATTAAATGTTTCTCTAACCCAGTGGTTCTCAACCTTCCTAATGCCGTGACCCTTTAATACAGCTCCTCATGTTGTGGTGACCCCCAATTTCATTGTTACAAATTGGACATAATTAAAGCATAGTGATTAATCACAAAAACAATATGTAATTATATATGTGTTTTCCAATGGTCTTAGGCGACCCCTGTGAAAGGGTCGTTCGACCCCCAAAGGGGTCGCGACCCACAGGTTGAGAACCGCTGCTCTAACCTCATAGTACTAGCCTTGCAGGAATAAGCGATCTGTAAGGAGGTGATGATGAACAATTGTAAGGACACCCATATTTCTAAAGGACTTTAAGCACAGTTTCTGGAGATCATTAGTCCATTGATAAAACTGCACCTGAGTAGAGGATCTTTAATTAAATTTGAATTAAATAGTTTAAAATTAGATATGCCAAAATAAAAAATTCATAAAGATAAAGAATTATACTGTTCTATCAAAATGTATTTCTCTTTGGCTTTTGATAGGTACTATTCTTTCTAGTAGTTCCCTGTTAAAAAAAGTAACTTTTACATCATATCTTTACTTCTTCATAAGTAAAACCTTTACACTGCTCCTAGATTAAACACTTTTTAATTTGCAGTGCCTTTCAACAATGCTTTTAAATGACACATTTTATTATTTAAGGTCAGGAAGTAATTGTCTCTAGAGTATGAAGCAATTAAAAGGTGCATTAAACTTCATCTTGACATATTTTATTAAAGCTATTGCTTAGCTTCATATTATTGATAAGTATCCTTACTTGTATGTCGTCATCATGGTAATTATGAAATTAACTAACTTAGACATTTAGAAAAATGATCAAGTATGAAACGAGTCCACGTCATCTTAGTTTTTTGTTTTTGATTTTTGGCGGGGTGGGGGAATTTTGTTGGAGTAAATACACGCGTAGGAAAATGAAAAGCTCAGTACGTTTCCACCCTGGCTACACTCATGTAACCAGCCCCGGGGTCAAGGAACAGAGCCCGCCCCCTTTTGCTCTGCCAGTCCCCGCCCACCTTCCAGTGCAGGCCCTTGTGCAGGATTTTTCCAGGGCGGCTTCATCGGAACCTCTCGTGGGAACTGTTGAGCTCAGTCCTCTTTAAGAATCAGGCTGTGCCATCAGATGACCCTCAGTGGGCACTTCTGGCCAGTGCGGGACTTAGTTATGACAACCAGTACTCGAGAGGGAACCCACGGGACAAGTTAGCCAATGGAGATGCTTCTTCGGGAATCAGAGTCCAGCCTCGGGCAGTGGTTCTCAGACTTCCTCCTGCTCGGGAGGCACCGGGAGGGCCTATAAAAGCTCGGATCAGCCCGGCGGGCGTGGCTCAGTGGTTGAGTGTCCATCTATGAACCAGGAGGTCGAGATTCTGATCCCAGAGGGCACATGCCTGGGTGGGGGGCTTGATCCCCGGTGGGGGGCGTGCAGGAGGCAGCCGATCAATGACCTCTCTCATCATTGATGTTTCTCTCTCTCTCCTCAATAAAAATATATTAAACAAAACAAAAGCTCAGATGCCTGGCTCCCACCCAGGGTTTCTGACTGGGGCCTGGGGTGGGAAATGGGTGTCTAGCAGGTCCCTGAGCCCAGGACCCCCTGTGATGGCACACACTTGAGGGACCCAGGACCAGCGAGACCCGGAGAAAGGTCAGCTAAACTCGCGCATGTCGCTCTGACGGCCCCTCACCTCGCCGAGCTCCACCATGAGCTCGCAGTAGCGCTGGATCTGCCCGAGCCTCAGGTGTATGTCCGCGGCCTCCTTCAGCCTCTCCTCCGTGGTCGGCGCGCCGATGCCCCCTCCGAACTTGGACATCTTGACTGTGGTCAGCTCCTGGGCTTCAGACTGTGGCGAAGAAAAGACCCTTCTGAACTGTGTGACACAAGCACTGGAGATGCACCTGCTCTAAGAGTGCTCTGTGGACACGCAGCTCAACAGCATCCGGCTCTGGGAAGCAGGCACTGAGAACCACACTTCCCCCTAAAGGAGGCAGCCTGGCTCACAGTGCGGGTGGGATGGAGCCTGGGGGCCTGGGGTGGGTGGCAGAGGCGAACTCCCACTGTCCCTAAAGCTCCTGGGGTTATGGCGACACAGAGGCCCCAGGGCCGGAGGCAGTGAGGGAGAGACAGCCGTGATGAAGAGGCATAAGATGGTCGCTGACAGACATTACATTACTGGCTGCCTCGAACTGGCTCCTGTACAGCCACCAGGGAACTGGGGCAGTCAGACGCGTCTAGCTGTGCACAGTTCCCTCCCTGCTGACGGGTGAGTTCCCTGCGGACATTTCACTGCAAACCTAAGAGCTACTTCTCTTTCCGGGCCCAGGCCTGGTGTGTGGTGGGCACTGCAGATCACCAGGTGTGAGATAACTAATGCGTCTGCATTACAATTCACTACGACCAGTCTAATAAGACATAGCTCAGAAGACAGCCTTTCAGGCCCCTGAGACCAGACCCAGCGTGGCCCCCGCGTCCCCGTCACCTGGTTGCAGGGTAAATGGGAAGCATTGCAAGCAGGTCCAGGTGACCTTTGGGATTTCGCGAAGTTTGACTTATGAGAACTACGGCTGCCTCCTGGGTTCTCAGGAAATTCCTGCTCGCATGGTCAGACTCTCATGCTTGGTTTTACTGAAGATTTATCTCCTCAACATTCACGTATTTCAGTCAACTAACTCTAATTATATAAAATTTTAAAATAATCTTTATGTTTTAACTAGAGGCCCGGTGCACCCGGGGAGAGGAATCCCTCAGCCAGGCCTGTGCCCTCTCACAGTCCGGGATCCCTCGGGGGATGTCTGACTGCTGGCTATCCCCCGAGGGGTCCTTAGTGCTCGCCAGCCATGAGCCCGGCTTCTGGCTGAGCGGTGCTCCCCCTGTGGGAGCACACTGACCATCAGGGGGCAGCTCCTGCATTGAGCGTCTGCCCCCTGGTGGTGAGGGTGCGTCATAGCGACCAGTCATTCCGCCGTTGGGTCGATTTGCGTGTTAGGGTTTTATTATATAGGACGGCGAGCACGCACACTCCTTTCTGCAGAGCCCGCCTGTGTGCCACTGCACTCACTGTGCGGAACTTCAGCAGGTGCTTCAGGTGCATGATGCCTCTGCAGTAGTTCTGGGGAAGCAAGCTGTCATCCTGCCCTTTGATCACGGCCACCAAGTTCCACAGGTTGTCACTGCCACCTGGAGGCTAACAGTGGATCAGAGTCAACAGCCAGAGATGTGCTCGGGAGGGAGAGAGAAACCCCGCAGCACGCTGCATCTTCACACACGCAAGGCAGGCACATCGAAACTGAGCATTAACAAGGGAACGGCCACACGCCTCCCATCGCCTGCTTCCGGCTTCACCGGCTTCCTTCCACTGTGCAGGCATGTTCAGAGGGACGCAGGGAACCCATGACACGTGCAAACATGTGATGACTTTGTGACCACGGCTGTGACGATCCATTTTGGGGCAAAGGGAAATGCTCACACCTCATCCCTGTCATACTCACGGACAAACACTCCGAAAACCACCTGAGCTTCTTCCCACGCGGGTGGCCGCCCAGCTTCTCTATTTCCTGTTTAATGTCCCTCGACACTTTGCCGCACAGCACAGGGGGCGCGCCTCGCAGGATGGCGTCATCTGGAGAACAGACACCACTCAGTGAGGAAAGGCTGTCGGGAAATTTGAGTTAAAAATAAAAATCTGGCCCGACCGGTGTGGCTCAGTGGTTGAGTGTCGACCTATGAACCAGGAGGTCGCATTTCCATTCCCAGACTGGGCACGTGCCCGGGTTGTGGGCTCCATCCCCAGTAGGGGTCGTGCAGGAGGCAGCCTATCAATGATTCTCATCATTGATGTTTCTCTCTCTCTCTCTCTCTCCCTCTCCCTTCTCTGAAATCAATAAAAAGACATTTAAAAGTAAATATATAAATAAATAAGTAAAAATAAAAAGCTGACACATGCATAGTGTCAGTACCAGTGTTCCCGATAATTTCCTTCCACGGTCTGTCCGCCAGGATGCTAATCTGTAAAGGGGTGACTAAAGGTGCCAATGACCACAGCCTCACGGTGGAGTCCCGGGAGCAGGAGGCCATGGTGAAGGGGCGGCTCGGATGGCACGTTAAACCTGAAGGAAGAAGAAACGGTGTTAACTGGAGTCAACATTGGAAATATTTTTTTATCTACATGGACCTCAGCGAACGCATACAGGATTGGAGTTTTGAAGAAATGTTTCTATCTTGACTGAAAATACTGTAAGAATGGAATAACTTACTTAGCACATTCCATAAATAATGGCTAAAGGGTGTCCCAAAATTCACGCAAGAAGTAATTTTGATAGAAAACACAGGTTTATAATTAAAAATTGTAAATTTCTTATTGATTCACAAAGTATACAGTATAGGGTAATGTATGGAATAGTGTATCGGGGAAATGGCCTCCACGGCTTTGCTGGCACATACGCAAAGCCGTGGTCTTCATTGGTCTTCATTGTCCCTGCTCCTGATCCATAACTGGTACTTGGTGATGCTTATCAAATTGAAGGGATTGAAATCAAAGGGCAACAGATATTAGAATCTGATTCAATAAACCAAGTAAAATTAGGCTTTTATTTTTTGTTGTTGTTAATGTTCACGCAAAATTCAAATCTTGCGTGAATTTTGGGACACCCTTTATAAATGGAATAGTTATGGGAAAGCAAGCGGCCCTGGATGAAAATGTTGAAATTACATCTCAGTTTATTAATACCAATGCAGCACACAGCCGTCTGTGACTCCATGGAAGTTCTAGCTACAAGGACGGGGGCCCTTTCGATTTACAATGTCCAGAAGTGCAATTCTCTCTCACGCTCAGTCTTGCGCTGCCTCAATTAAAAGGCCATTGGGCTGAAGCACATGGACACACATGGCTGGGTTAGGGGTACTTTCTTCCAGGAATCATTTTTGCCATCGTAATTGGCCTACTTAGGCCCATTAAGGTGTTGGTGCTGCAAATGAGAGTAAAGATGTGCAAAAGATAAGGTATCTGATTTTCCATACCCAACTCAATAATATTAAAAAACAAAACACCACTCTACATATCCTGGCGGTAGAGAAATGGCTGAATAAACTATATCTACTTCATTACTGATTTCCTGTTTTATAACTTACCCCTGGACTGATGGTAGGAGAGGAAGAAAAATCCAAGCCATACATGCAAATATGTGCATGGGTGTGTGTGTGTGTGTGTGTGTGTGTGTGTGTAAACACAAGTACACCTGCAGGTAAAGACACCACAATGTAAACAAAAGTTATATTCTGCGAATTTCTGATGATGCTTTTTTTGTCTGTCTGGTTTCTAATGAGAATGTTGTTTTAAAATGAAACAGTGTAAAACGTCTTAAGAACACCATACTGCTCGGAAACGAGAGTCACCATGAGGAGGGCACAGTGTAAAAGCATGAGGAGCACTTTACCGTACACATCTGCGCCATGATCGCACACGGTGTCCAGGCACGTCCCCTTGCGAGTGTCCCACACCCTCACCGTGTAGTCCCAGCTGCCGGAGACGAGGAGGTACGGGATCTCCGGGTTCCACAGCAGCCCCCGCACGGGGCCGGAGTGCCCGCTGAGAACACGGATGCAGGCATCTTGAGTGTAATCCCAGATGCGAACAGAACTGGAACAGAACATTATGGGTCTAATACCATTCGAGTTATCAGTTACCTAAAATATTAACATATTCTTATTGGAGCACAATGATTACTTCTCAGTATATTAAAAAAGCATTTTATGTTTCAAGATATGCTAAGAATCTCTTCTTCATAAAAGTTGGAAATGAATGATTAGGCTAGAGTTAGCGTACTGCAATACAGAGTATTTTTTCTCCTGACTTTTACTGGTCATTTGCTAATGATACTAAATGTACTATTTCACAGTTTATATGTTTAAAGAATTTATTTCTTAAAATGAAATACCCAGAACCGATAAAACCAAAGAAAAATATGAGTAATAACATGGATACGACAATTTAAGAACACTTAAATTTTTTTGTAAGTCATGAAAATACTGTATATATGGCAATGGATAGTACCTGAAAAATCAATTCAAATTTATGATTATATCAGTCATCATAATAAGTTGCTTATTCAGTGTGGAATCACTCTCAGATCATTACAAAATTTAAATATAACTGGATTCATGATATGACTTGAATCTACTGATTAAACAAAGTACAATTGTTACTAAAATAAAATTTGAACTAAAAATCAACTTAAGATTCCCCCAAATGTCCACTTTGCTTAGACAATTCATACTAATTTTTTTGACACAGATTTATATCAATCTGCTGATACCAAACTATTGATACTTCAAATATTACATTACACTACAAAGGAGACACATTATATATATTTGTACTTCTTTACGGCATATCTATTCTGCTTTCTATAAAAAGACTTCTTCTTTCCCCCTTATCCTAGGACAGCACAATGTATCAGGTGTATCAAAATCTACTTTTGGGTGCTGATTTCTTATATATATTTAAATTGTTTTGTTTGATATCACACCTTCATAGATAAGACTATATTAATTTTTTAAAACATATTTTTATTGAGTTCAGAGAAGGAGGGAGAGACAGAAAACATCAAGGATGAGAGAGAATCATTGCTCAGCTGCCTCCTGAATACCCACTACTGAGAATTGAGCCCACACCTGGGCATGTGCCCTTGACTGGAATCAAACCCAGGACCCTTCAGTCCGCAGGCCAATGCTCTATCCACTGAGCCAAACTGGCTAGAGCTGTAAGACTATATTAAAGTGATTGGTTTCAAAATACTTTATAGTTACCATAGGGGGCACTAGAACAGGTGTCCTTGCTTTTAGGACATCAGTGAGATTAGGCAAACAGCAGGCATTGAAGTCCTAATGTGTATTTTTTTTTTGGAACATAAGAAAAGCATGTTTGTGGCCCCTGTACATAAGGAGAGCGGGCTTCCAGGTTGAAGCACAGTACCTGTGAATTCTGGGATAAGGACACTGGCAATTAATGATTTCCCAACAATTCTGACTTTTATGTAAAGGTGCTAGGTAGCGTGTTAGGTACAACCATCACCTACATGACTACTAGGAGGACCGATAACCAGAATTCAGTACAGTCTTTCAACTTTCAAAACCATAAGTCAGTTACATGCTTACTGCTATCTTTCTGACAAATACTGCTTAGACATTTGAAGATTATACTTTTTCTCACGTGTTATATAATTTAGACTAGAGTCCTTATTAAGAGACTGGTGATAACTCATAGAAACCCCACAATTATTGTTATTATTAAATTTGGATTGATTCCAAAATTTCAAGAATAAAATATTTAATTTTCAATATTAGACCTGAGGTTACTGTTTACTATGACTTTTACTTGCATGAAGATCATCCTTACTTAAATTTATCTCCTATTCAATAGTGACCAAATTGTATTATGCAAAACAGTCTTGTTTGAACATAAAATACAGACAAGATTTCAGAAACGTCCACAATGCCCCAAAATGTTAAATCACTCCTGTTAGAGCTCTTTTCTTCATGCCAAGATATACATCCCTCTTCTTTTATCCCTTCTCAATGAAAACAGTCCCTTGTCTTCCATGATATGTGAACAATGCTAAAATGAACTCTTCTCTGTGTTTTACAGACTTATTTGTTTCCGATCGTTTACCCTTTCCCAACAGATCCTTTTAACATTTTTGTTCCTATTAACGTTGTTACTAGTAAGATAGAAACAAACATCCACAGTGAAGTAAAATAAGTAAGAAAACAGAAATCATGACTGATGATAATATAAGCACAGCAACATTTAATTTACCTTTGGTTGAATGCAGTTAGGTACTTGTTAACTGCCAACATGTTAAGTGCACATTTAACATATTTCCCCACCAGTTGGATCACACAGATGGACTAGGACATTCGGATCCAAAGCCACGTACCCGTCATCAGAGCCGCTGCAGAGGATGCCCTCCCTCAGGGGCGACCAGCGCACGTGGAACACCTTGGCCGTGTGCCCACTGAACACCTTCAGCGGCTGGTCCGAGCTGGTGGCCGCGTAGTAGACGCGGACGCCTCTGTCTTCACAGCCAGTGGCTATCATGTCTCTGAAAGGCCATCGGTGGCCCATGGAAATAGGAAAGTATGAAAGATGTGATGTTGCTTGTTGCCGACAATTTTAAAACGTACACAGTTCTCACTTCTAACAGTAGAAGTGTTTGCTTCCGTAGTGGAGTGAGACTAAAATCTTACATAAGTAAAAACATAATTTGTAGAAACTGCCCTCTCACTTACTGTTCCCCTTTAACCAGTTACATTTTTATTTTATTCATCTTAGATCTGAGATAACGGTATTTATATTTCGATGTGTTCTTTTTCAAAATGTCCAGATTGAGAACTTCTAGACTATTTCTCAGAACTACTGGTTCTCAGAACGGGTCCCCAATGGTGAGTGATGGAGATGTGCTTGCTTGCGGGTAAGCAGATTGTTAATGACACCCTCCCGGCCCTCTGGTCAATTCTGCGGTGGCCTGGGTCAAACAGTAGTCCCCTGGGGAGGCCCACTGGGATCGTCCCCAAACCAGGGCTGTCCATCTAGGGTGAGTCACAGCCCGTCTGCCGATTCTCTTTTGAGCTTGAGACGCTCTAACTGCTGGAGGCAACTAAGGACCTACTAGGATATGCGGATATGATCTTTAAATGATCTCATTCCACATTCTCAAGAGCGTGAGAGTGAGCTAAGCAACTGCTTATGCCCAGTGGTCATGCTTGGGATACTGTTTCCAAAGGGAGTCTGAGTCCTGGGCAGACGGTGGGATCCTGGGCCCATCAGAACAGCCCCCACTAAGGGCCACTGCCCACCATAAGCAGTCCTCACACCCTAGAGGCCAAGAGCCCACATCACAGGGCACAGGCCTCGAACTGCAGGGAGCTGACCGTTGTCACAGGGGTTATAACAACTGTACTTATATAGTCCTATGTGAAGAAATACACCAGTTTTCAAACGGGCATGCTGATCTGTAACTGTGCAGGTTACATCTGCCCAAGCCCACTGATACATGGGCTGGTTTCAATATCATTTGCATAATACAAATATTTATATGTATAAATGAATATATATATATATATACACACACACACAGATACGTAAGTATAAAATCTTAGAAATGAAACAATAAACATTCAAAGAGTGTACATACAGGCATCAAAATTAATATTCAGCAATACCTTATGAATAAACTTTTATAAATTCAAGGTGTTTCTCACTTATCTCCTAACATGCTAAGTAGAACATGAATATAGCAATTGGAACATTTTAAGAAGATCTTTAAAAATAAAATTTATTAGGCAGGCTTGGTAGTAAGCATAATAGTTAAGTATGAAGGACTTTTTGAAAAGAAAAGCTTTCTTAGCCAACAAAGCATATTGCACTAATCACTAGTTTTAATTTCAACTGTCAAATGCCCATTAAACCTACGAAACTGAGAAATGAGAGTGTGGAACGGTTATGTTGGTCAGATACAAGGGAATTTGTGTATTGAACACAGTGTTTGGCTAAGAACACAGAGCTACAAGAAGGTATCACTTTGAGAGCTGATGGCTCAATTTTGAAAATGACATGCATTTTAATAAACACTGCCTTTAAAATATTCAAAGTGTGTGTATACATTTCTGGGGGCCACCCTATAGATGGGACGGATTTATATGTTTCATTGGTCAGCCACATGCTTTACCCTAACGCATCAGGAAGTTATTTCAAAAGCAGGGAATTGATGTTTCTAAATCATATAAAGACAAGTCATGAGATAAAAAGACACCTGGGCCCAATACGCAATGCCAAGGCTAGGCAAGGGGAATGTTACCTAAGGCGTGAGGAGTATTCCCTCTGGGGTGACATTCATCTTTGTGGTTATTTGAAATCTCAGAAGTGTAATTCTCACTGATTTCGGGGGAAAATACTCACTTGTTGTTTTGGCTCCAATCACAGCCGAACACGGCAGCGGGATGCTTGTACTTGTGCAGCACTCTCCCATCGAGGGTTCGGATGATGCTGAAACCGAGTGCAGCGTGTCAACAGGAAGCACACACTGCAGACGCTTCGTTCAAGGGGACGAAGGATTGCGTAAGTCAAGCCCAAGTGCGGTAGGACAGGGACCGTGGCTGCACGGCACTGGGCACATTCGAAGGGGCTGGGTAAATGTTATCTGCATCACATATTATTGATTATGGTAATCTACTTACACCCCTTAAAGGGGATACATTTTTATTTAGAAACGACTTCTTATAGAATTTTTTTATTGAGGAAAAGCACAAGTTACACATATATATTAAACCATAATGATGTAACTAACATATGTCTTAGGGATTCGGCTTCAAAATTTATATTTAAAATAACTCATTTCTAATGCTGGTCACATGTACTATCATACCAAGTCCAAGATGTACATGTTGTGATATTTCTCTGCATGTTCTAAGTGATACAAGTAGAAATTTGAAGGACCCCTTTTCCCTAAAAGGATCCTGTATACTTTAACTGCAATACCATCTACATGACACCATAATGCAAGGGCTACTGATTCCTTTAGAAAGAAAAAAGTAAGTTCTGTATAAACTAATGTATTACAGGTTTTAAAAAGTTTTTGGAACAGACCCTCTAAGACACCGTTAGGTCCCCCAGAACTTCTGAGGGTACTGGGTAGTGTGGTGACCGTGCGTGTAAGTGTTTACTCACTGACTGTGCTCAGTCATCAAATAAATACAGCCCTGAACGGACATGTGTCACCCAACCAAAAAACACGTAGGCACATTTTTCATATTTTGATTTGTATCAATTTGCAAATTGTTATTTCAAGGGAAATATCACTAATATTGTTATTTCCGAAAATTTTAATATCCCGGTAAAGAACTTTAGTTTCCATAAGTACTGTCTTTCCCACTGAAATTAAAAAGTGAGAATAAGAAGAGTGGTGCCTGTACAGCAAAACCTAAGATGGGACAAATGACTCTACTCCAGCGACCATGAGTGTCTGTATCACCGTCAGAGACGGCAACCCCTGCAGCTGAGGGGGCATCGCCAGATTAAAACGTTATTTCAGCCCAAGGCAATCTCTCCCTTGCATGGTATATTTTGGAAACCTACCTTCCCCTAGGACTTAACAGAACTGAGAAAGCATGTAGTTCTGAGACACGGGGTCAGAGAACTGAGCTTCTATAAAAAGGCATTTCCCACATGAATTCCCTTATCCCTATCCTTTTCTAAATAATGGCACCTCCCCAACTGTGAAGACGTTTCTAGAGCACGTGATGGCTCCCGAGTTGCTGTAACCCTGACCCACCACTCCCTCCAAAATCGGAGGAGAAACATAGACACTTTGTGAAAAGTCCTTCAAGCCTCTTGGAGGCCATTCACTCTTGTAATTATTACTCGGGTAGTGCTGTCACTTTGCAGCCATGACTGGTTCCTTTTTATTATTTATTTATTGTTAATTTTTAAAAAATTGACTTCAGAGAGGAAAGGAGAGAGAGAGAAATATCAATGATGAGAGAGAATCATGGACCGGCTGCCTCCTGCACACCCACAGTGGGCATCCAGCCCGCAACCCGGGCATGGGCCCTGACTGGGAATCGAACTGTGACCTCCTGGTCCATAGGTTGATGCTCAAGCACTGAGCCACGCCGGGCTCTCTTTATTTATTTTTGAACATCACCTCATCGCTATTTATTACTGATGCATCATAGCGATACAGCAGATGCCTGTGTGGACGTCTACATAATATTGGTGACAGGTGTGCACAAATGGAACCGCATCAGGATGTTCAGGGAGGAGCTGCCGGACACACTGGCAGCCCCAGGCGTCTCTGTGGAGGTGACAGCCACACACAGCACTCACCAGAGACCATCTCCGCTGCAGGTCGCTATTCGTTTGGAATCTTTATGACTCCAGGCCACGCAGAATATCCCATTCTTTCCGTGCTTCAAAAAATGCAAAACACCTATCAATAAGAAATAGTTCACCTCTTTTTCTCTTAGTTACTTACTCCGTCTAGGTGTTATTTCGCTATGAGGAGCTGCTGGGGTGAGGCTAACAGAGCCTTACGGCCTGCAGCAGGGAGGGAATATATACCCTAAGCATGTGTCCAGCTCTCACACTTAACCTCAGGATCACTGTTACAGGACATGAACCCGGTGGCTTCCGCCTCTCTTCTGGGGACCCCGGTGAGGAGCCAGAAGTGCTTGCTGAGCTCCTTGCGGATGAAGCTCTGCTCCCCGCCTCCTGCACACACCAGGCTGCGGGTGCAGGGTGACCGCCTGCTTCCTACCCAGGGCAACCGGGACTGGAGTGAAAGACATGTGGCAGACACTGTTGCCACGACCGTTCTTCGCAATTTCAAAGTTTTACTTTTATAAAAGCAAAGAAGAGCAGATTTAAGGTCATTCCTAGAACAAATAGCTTCATTTATCTGTGCGTCTGCATTCTCAGACTGCGGGCGGGGAAAGGGACGCAGTCCCAGCTGCTGTGATGGGAACGTTTAAAACTCCAGAAGGATGTTACACACGGGCATGTCATCCTTCAACGGGGTCACGGGCGAATAAGGTGCCGTCACCCCATTTCCCAAGCTGACTGAAGACATTTCAACCTTATATCCCACTAAGCTGTGCTGCTTTAAGGGGAGAGAAAATGCCCTTTTACCCTGTTTTATGGCCGTTTGACTAAGGCGGTGTCTAGCTGCTGTTTTTACCTCTTTGGAGGTCAAGGGGGAGGCTTTACAAAAAATGGATACAAAATGGGGTCGTGTCCAT